AACTTTCCTGTAAGTTAAGGAAAGCCATTCTGACAGTTTTAAATTAAAAGGGTATTACCCTTAATCCGATTATGTGATTATGTCAAGTTATGCATATGAGGATATCATGCAAAAATTATACAAAGTGATGTTAATGCAAAAAATAATTAAATATGCGATTAAAGTGAACGAATTCAAACATGCTCATAAAAATAAACTACACCTACGTGCGTATGAACAACATGCTTAAAATAATATATACATGCATATATTTTAAAATAAATCTAAATTAACCTAACAATCATGCATAAAATATTAAAAGGACTAAAACATAAAGAATAAATAACAACAACCTTTTTCATAACATTTTCATTTCTGGGTACTGCAAACAGAATATAACCAAAATATTGCATAGGATCAAATTGAAAGCTCCTCAAATTACATATCCAATGCAAAAAACGGAAAGAAAATGGCCATAACATGATACGGGACCAAAATAAAATAATCCGGAAACCAGGAGGTAAGATTAAAATTCCCATAAAGCTCGGTTTAGGGACAAAAATGTAACAGGTTGAAACTGAAATGGCTTGCACACAGTTACCCCCCAAAGCAAAACACAGAATACTTCCCCGGAGGTCAATACGACGCCGTTTTGGAACTAAACGGGACGACGCCGTTTTGGCGTACGAGACATCAGGGTATACCCCTAACCCTAGTCTCATTTCTTCTCAACCTAAACAGATGAAAACCCCCCCCCCAGCCGTTCTCTCTATCTCTCTCGCCTCTCAATCCCAGCTTGACCAGACGACTTCCCTGGCCACCACGGCCACCGCCGCCTTAAACAAATCTCTTAGATTTCCTCTCAAACGAAACCAAACGAAGCCCTAGCCTCCACAACCACCATGGTCTCTCGCTTCTCTCTGCTTTCCTTGGTCGAAACCCTCAGCAAACCCAACCGTGGCAGCCGCCGTGGCTGCCGCCACTAAACTATCCTGACGAGAAACGCTCAGGTAAACCCTTTTCTCACTCTTCTAACCTCTTAAACCCTAAACCCGATCCTCACCGAGACCTCACAAAACCCTCAACCAAGCACGGACCTAAGGTTCAGGACGGTTACCTTGGACGACGGCTATGATTCGGGCCCCAAACGAAAGAAGGTAAAAGTTTTGTTTGCTTCTTTCCTTGCTTTGCTTTCTGTTTGATGAGGTATTGTTGCTCGAATGTTTTGGGGTTACTGGTAATGGCTAAGTTTTTTTTTGACCCTTTTTTTGGTTGTGTTTGGTGATGGCTGATAACTGATGTTGTTCCCTTTTTCTTTGGTGATGGCCCATAGATTCTAGGGTCTCTCGTTGATAATGGCCGATGGATATTTTTGGGTTTTTTCTTTTTCTTTTTTTTCGATCTCTCCCCCTTTTTGTATCGTGGTTTCTGGTTTTTTACTCCCCCTCTGTGATTGATTCTGTGAATTTTGGTTTCCCAGGTGCCAGAGCATGGGTCTGTTCGATGTTGTCCCTTGTGCCCCAACTGTTTCATGGGCAGTAGTGATGGGGAGCCGAGCCTTGGTGTTGCTCGGGGTGAGTGGAGCAGCATGGGTGCTTCTCGGTTGGCTTGGTGATCGTGCTGTCGGCTGGTGATCAGGGTACGTGGGGAGCAGACTTCACGTGGGATGCTGCTCGGTTACAGCTGGGAACCGAGCCTCGTCTGCTCGGTTTGGCAGGACGTGGTTCACGAGCTGCTGCTGGGCACTCCACGTGGGGGACAAAACATGGGAGCATGGGAAGCATGGGGCATTGTGGAGCCAGCTGGTGGCAAGCGTGGACCGCTTGGCATTCACGTGGGCAACTCAGTTGCTGCAACCGGGTCGGATTGGTGCAACCGGGTCGAGTTGATGAAACTGGGCCAAACTTGGGCCTGATCTGCTTTGTGGGCTCCGGATGTAATTGGGTTTCATGTTGTTGTTGGGCTCTGGATTGGGTCGTAATTATTTGTAATCTAATTTGGTCTTGTAATTGGACTTCAAAGACATAAATGGTCTTTAGACACTTAAATTTGTATTTGGGATTAAATTTCAAATTGTGCCTTAATTTCCAAAACGAACCTATACGACTTAGTCCAATTAAACACCTCAAGCTTTCAAACGTAAACTTCCGTGATTTATCTTTTGAAATAATTCATCATAAAGCACAAACATCTTCAACTTAATTCTCGATCGTCTTCAAATGAATTTAAATGGCCCGGACAAAATTAGGGTATTACAGGCTTGTCTTGAATAAATGGTTCATTCATAAGAGAGAGAGAGAGAGAAGAGTGCCTAACGTGTGAACAAGGACAAAGATGGAAGGTGTTTGATTTCAAATCTAATTTACTAAACATTTTAAAAATAATTTCAAAATTGGGGTTTAACTTTTGAGAGATTAAGCCTGACATTTCAAAATAATCAAATAAAAATATATTGTTTTTATAATAAATATTTTATAATTCATGGCCTTTATTTGAAACATATTCAAAAGACTAATCCTTTACTTGAGTATTTGAAAATATTAGACTATTATTCTATCATTTTAGGAGGATGGCCAATGATAATGAACAATGTGAATGGATGACGACCGACACTACCAGTCTCGTGCTGATCTCCCAAAAAGAGAAATCAAGAAATGAAATTTTTAAAAGAGTTAACATTTAAAAGAGTATTTTAGGTTAAATTGCTTGTCCGATCCTACCACCTTTTTAGATTCTCACAATTAGGTCATTATTTCATAATTTGATTAATAATTGGACCTTTTAATTTCAAGAATCTTTCAATTAGGTCTAGGAGCGTAATTCTTGTTAGTAATTAAGTCTTTAAGTTTTGATTCTTTCCAGTTAGGTTCTAAATGTATAATTTTGATTAATAATTAGGTCTCATAATTTTAGTTTTTCAATTAGGCCCTAGAATTTTAAACTCACTTTAATTTGGTCTTTAATTTAGAACAAATTAATGAATTTGGATTTATTTCTCAATTAAATATCACTTTAGCCCTAATTTTCATGTAAAATATTAAATAGTTAATAATTTCAGTTAATTTAGTTAATCAATCGATTTCGAACAAAAATAATTAATAACCGAACTTTGAAAAATTTCTTAACCGTTAACCAAATTAATATCAAATTAATTGAAAGATTAATCGAACTAAATATCAATTCAATTAGTTAATTCAGTTAAAATGAACACCCTAGGAATAATATATGCTAAAAAAAGAATAATAAAAATGTAGTTTAAGAAAAAATTGCAAATCTACCGTGATGGTTATAATGGAGGGTAAATTATTCATTTCAATAAAATAAATTTCAATAAAAATTATTATTTAAAGTGGTTATAAAATAGTATATGTTCTAAGTATTATCACCCATTTAACAATAAATGCTCAAACTTATGACCTCTAAGAATAACAACAATTCGTTTAATCACCGAGGTAAGTTAGTTCGTGTATTGCACGAAAGAATGAAAGAATTGGTGTTACATCTCTATGGCAAATTATTTGTTACAACTTAGAACTAGACAAAGATTTCCCATTTCGAACAAAAATGCAAAGAGAACGGGTTTCTCAGATCACTTCAGAAATTGGTTCCAAAACAGGAGTCCACGGCCTATAATTTCCCAGCCGGCAGCCATGGACGGGCAAAACACGATCAACGGAGCTCTCTTCCTCAGCTTCCACATCAGGCAAAACCATTGCACCGCCACTTTTTCTCGTCCTCTTTCCACTACAAGCTTCTTCTATTATTGCCATATCCGTATCCGTAACTTTGCAATGCATCCTTTGTATAGGAAACAAAACGTAAACTTTACCAGGCAAGAGTTCATATCGTCAGCTCGTATGGCGACCACTCGGCGAGTTCGTTTGAGCTGTTCCACGGGAGCGATGACGTGAACGGGTTCATCGAGTATGAGGTCGGCTGCCTTTGCCGTGAGCTCCACTTTCCTGAGGTTCCCTTGAGCATCGATTACTTTGGCGGAGCTAGAGGTGAAGTTGCCCATGTTGAAGTGGAAACAAGATGCAGAGCAGAGCCTGAAGAAGAATATGTAAAGGAACAATTGGGAATATTTTGATGGTTGAGACTTGGGAGTAGAAAGTGGAGGGTGATTGGGTATATATAGTAAAGGAAAGAGGAAGAGTCAAAGAGTCAATGGTTATGGGACTTCAGTGGAGAACACGCGGGTGCTGCTACTTATAGAAGTGCCATCGTGGATGAGTCTCTGTGTTTCAGTCTGCTACTGCTACTTAATATGGCTTATGGGAAACGTGGGGTCTTTGCCTCCGTTTTGTGGTTGGAAATTGCACTAATTCACTTGCCATGTTTGATTCACATAACTTTCCATGAAAAAGGATAATCATACCCTGCACTAATGGTAAAAAAACAATTCCATAAACGAATTTATGATATATTTAGATTTTAAAATTATAAATTATAAATTTTAAGATTTAGTATTTATGTCTAAAGTTCAAATTTTGGGATCTAAAGATTATATTGTTGGGTTATCCATATTGGCTGTCTTTTCTCGAAGGTGTGGGGCAGATATATTTTGTTTTATGAGTTTCATGGGGCAATGAATTTGGACCTACCATAGAATCTACTTAGTGCTTGTTAGTGCCTCAATAATCTCTTTTAAGTTGATGCATTTCGAGGTGATAACTTTATGTTAGGTGTTCTGGTACGTTTATCCTAATATGGGTTCAGTAAAATGGTATTTGGAAACTTTGTTCTTGTGCTTTTCGATTGTAGCGATAGACTTTTGAGTCTTCAGAAGGTCGAAACAATTCAAATATGAATATCAGCATATCAATTGTCGACGCACTTGCTTAAGTTGATCCAGTTTGACCCCTTGCTTAAGTTAGAAAAGTTCAAATTATGGGGCTCAAGTTAGGTCAAATTCAAAATAGGGTTAATCCACATTTCAGGTTTTGGTCAAATTATAGAGGTGTATGGACATAAGCGCAATCGTGTTAATAAAATTTTCTCATTAAAAGAATCCGGTGTTACAAAAATGGCGGTCACCCCATTTCACCCTTCCCAGCTAACCAAACTAATATGTTTTCTCAGACCAGCCAAACTTGACAAAAACGGTGGACACTAGTCAGAATCATATTCACATCACTATATCCACAGCCAAAGCATTCCATCAATGTTGCTGCACAACCATCCTTACCCTTTGTTGAAGTTCAATCAAGGAACTAATACAAGTGCCCTCACTTGTGCTTTGCCCCATCAATTCTCGAATGAAACCTACCATCTTATCCGGCAAGCTGTCTTCACATCCCTTTCTTCTGTGTTTCCCGTATGCAGTCTCGAATTCTCTTGACTTACTAGCAGCCGTTCTTAGCACTGTGTCGGGAAGCCCTGAAATGATTACCAGTCAGGTGATATTCACCACAGGCAAAGCTGAAATTTTGCAACTATGGTTTCATTCAGCAGATTATAGAGAAAGACCTTCATTCGACTTGAAAGGCCCTTCATTTTGTTAGTTTCAACCCACAGTAAACAATAGTTATTCGTGACAATGTATCATTAAAGATACTGAGGCCTCATTGCCAAGAACTCCACAGCAAAAGGGAACCAAGATTACAAGGAACCTTACCAGCTATCCGAGCAACATTTACACCATAACTTTTTGGACAGGCACCAGAGGTCAATCTGTAAAGAAATGTAACCTCCTCAGCACCTTCAACTCCATTTCCTACTTGGCATGCCATATGAAAGAGAGAGACCTGTTAAATTTGGGGAAAAGGTTAAAAAACAAATAATAAGAGGAAATTGAAAGCACATTAACATGAGCCATGCATTTTACAAAGTCACTCATTGAAAGTATAATGCAATAAACTTTAGTTTAAAAAAATGTTATCACAGACACCTTGGAATTGTTTTGATAGTCCACAGCTAAACGGTGGTAGTGTGTTGAAAACATTCCTCGACACTGCACCTTGTGCACAAAATGTTCAAGAACTGATTCCCTGACATAAAATTTGAAAAGTCAAAAATATCAAACAAATACTCAATGGTGTATAAATCAGCAGCAACATACGCAATGGCTTGTCCATCAGAAGTTGATGTTCCACGTCCAAGTTCATCTAATGCCACAAGTGAATGTGGAGTTGCTGAGGACTGCATTAACCGTCATGAATATGTTCAGAGATGCTAAAAATTTAGAATTAACATTTAGTACATCTACAAATGTCTTTCAATACTTGAAAACTATGTAGATTGTGAAATTGCAATGCCTTGTACCAGTGAAGCAAATATGCGAGGGATAACAAGAAAAGTTGTGAAGAAACCTTAAATAAGTCCCCTTTAAATAAATTGTGTAATTTTTTAAAATTCAAAAAAATACGGGTGGATATGAAAACTTTCACATTTCGGTAACCTCAAAATATCTCACATTTGCTGCAATCAGAACAAAACCCAACATACATGGATTGCTTTAGATCAGAATGAAATAGAGTACCAGCATTAATGCAGTTTCTGAAAGCTCAGTTAAAAATGTACTCTGTCCTGACATAATATGATCTTTGGCACCCATCCGAACAAAGATTCTGTCAACAGGAGATAGTTCAAAATGTTCTGCAGGGACATCCGACCTGGGGAGAAGCCACGCATGAGGGTCAATGAACACAATGAGACAATCTACAATAAGTAGGAAGAAAATATTTACCTGGGCCAAAATCGTGGCCAAGCAAACTTGGCGAAGAAGAGTCGACTTTCCACCCATATTAGGACCGGTAAGAAGGATAAAACTTGCATGGCCAGAACCCCCAATAGTGATGTCATTGGGCACAAATGAACCTTTGCCCATAGAATCACTTGTAAGAATAGGATGTCCTAAACCTTTTGCAGAAAGGCATGGAGAGCCCAAGATACGAGGACGACACGTTGGCCCTTCATAAAAATCACTTGCAATTGCTAGACTGATCAGTACATCCAGTTCTGCAAAATAAAACCACCAGTTCAGATATGTGAAGTAAAACAATGTGTATTCTACCAAAATCTTTATGTTGTAACAATTAGTCTTCTACAATTTCTGTAACTACATGTAATCTTGGCTCTAAATCGAAGTTATTAGCTAAAATATAAGCATAGATGTTTGCAATATATCCAGGTAACAAGAAAAAAAGCTTAGACCTAAACAACTTTAAAGTAACAAATTACTAGATTACATGAAAAAAAATGAAATAGATCAGGCTTCAGGGCAATTTGCATAAAAGTGACCAGGCATACCGGCAGTTGTTGAAACTAGTTGCCTCCATTTATTGTGATCCTCGCAGAATTGTCCAATTAACCTCTGGAGAATGTTCTTTAAAGCCGTCTCCTTTTCAGATTTAGCCAGCGAGAGTTCTCCCAGGAACTTCTTGATAGATGGAGTCCAATAACGGAAAAAGCCCTGCACATATGAAGCAGGAAGTGACAAGACTCAAGTAAAAAAAGTGCCTTTAAACTGAACAACTTCCCTATAAATCACAAAAAAAAGGTTTCTTTCAAGCAGAGGTTATAAAATCTAATATGTAAGAAATTTTACAGGAGGAAAAAATGAAAGATCAACACCAATTCATTGTGAAACTCTGGCAACATACATAGCAAAATGCTTGTAAGAAGTAAATAGCAAGCATATCTGCAGCAACTCTGGCAAGATATGAAGTGACTACTTGCAAATTGCAACCGAGTTAGAAAATCTGCATAAAACATCTGACCAAGCAAAATGCTTGCATGCAGTGATATGATCAATACTTTGTAGTTTGTAACATGATAGCTTTGTAACAACAGACATCTAACACCAATTGGATAATATACCTTAAGTTTAACAAAAAAGAGGGAGACAGTGAAAGCAATTTACCTTTTTGGATGAACGTAACTCATAATCTCGAGGTACACTCCCACGCAGGCTTTCTGGCACTTCCAATAGATATTCATCTTTTCCAACTGTGACATAGGTGATCTATCGAAGATATCAAATCAAAGAAAGTTTAGTAAAACATTACAAGTGAACAACTATTTGTATCATTAGAAAATTGAAGGATTTGTTGACAAAATACTTACTGATGAATCTCCAAGTAACTCCCGCAGTTCCTCAAGGTGTTTTGTCAAATTAGATTCAATCTCCTCAACTCTTTCACATGCTGAGTCATATTCCAGATCAACTCCTTTATGAGGTATTATACGTCCAGAATTGTTTGCATCAACCCAATCAAACGCATCTTTGAAATGCTTAAGAATAGAATGGATATTTGGAAGACCTTTACCTGTGCAGAGTTAGAATGCCCTATATCATTGAGAAACCATATAAAAAACATAATTCACATTACCGGTGGTTAGCAAATGATGAAGCTGTGTAGATTCCACATCTTCCAGAACACCAAGGGAAGAACATGCTTGGACCATTAGTTCACAACCACGTAGCGCTGATATGAATTCCTGGAGTTGCTTCTTTGCTGCATCTTCATATAAAACAACTTTATTTGCGTTTCTTCCATTAGCCTCACTGCATTCAAACACAAGTACCATTTAATTATTGAGGAATGCTTAATATATCCCCCATACTGCATGAAGGAATACATACGAATGAGCTGCATTTTTATCCAAGATTTACCTGCTAGCAAATATACGTGCGAGTAGCCTCTCCATGTCAGGAAGACTGGACAATGCCTTTCGAAATTCAAGGGAATATGATAGATTTTCACCCTAAACAACAGAAAAGACAACATTATACACGGTGCTAAGTTCAGCAAAAGAACGCACACTCGGATGAAAACCTAACATTAACCAGAGCAAGAAATAATGGACCGCTTGAAAATTGAGTAATTAATTATTCAGACAAATTCAACTGACTGCTTGAATCAATTTCTGCAAGATATAAATCACAATTATAATGGAAAACTCACCTTTAGGCCTGCTACAGCATCTTGCCGCTCCTTAATTAAATGAGTATGATATAACGGTCTAGCAAGCCATGTTCTTAGCAACCTCTTCCCAAATGCAGTTACACAGTGATTCAATTGTGCATAGAGTGTCCTACACATAAAAAACCGATTAAGCATAAGGTAGGACCTCTGAACTAAAATGATTAAGAAAAACTTACTAGTGCATGCACACATACCCAGAAGAGTCTCCATTTAGAATGTTTTCAAAGATCTCAAGGTTCTCAAGGGCCGCAGCATCAAGAAGCATATAAGGCTTTTGAGCAATACCACTGAATCCAGAGGATCGAAGCGATTCAAACTTCGCAAATCTAAGTAATGTCACATCTAGAAAGGCCTGTTTCAGGTAATAAAGAGTGCCTCCAAGAGCTGAGAGCGCTAGGCTGCCATTTGCACCAGCACTCAGTAAACTGCAAAGAACAGTTGGCAGGCAGCCCAACTCATCATCCTTGGTAGAATTAGAAGCATCTGTGCCCACATCATTAACAGATCTAGCGGCTGGTTGATCATTAACACATTTGTAGATGGTTTTGACTTCATGAACAGTTTTTTCCGCATCCCAAAATTCTGCAGATGGAACCAACTCATTCACTAAGGGAGTTCTTGTATGTCTCAGCATTGCCCTCTCAGTTTCAAGACTGAGCAGGTTAGCGGGTCTTATAAGTTCTACTGGTCTTAGCTCAGCCAATAGACAACACAGTGCACTGCACTCAGAATCATCCTCAAACTGGAAAGTGGGAGTGAGAGAGTATATCAGTCCTTTGAAAAAAGGAGACAAACAGAAAATTTAAATCTTGTAGGATAAAGCACACATTTTACTTCGGGGAATAAAACTAAATGTCAGGTCTGAACAAAGAAAGGATATAACTAAGCAATCATGCAAGGAAAAAAATCTACCTGTCCAATAATAATCCTGCTGGTTGCAACATCAACGGCACACACACCAAAAACCCTGTCACTATGGCTTGTTGAACTTTGACAGCTTTCGGTCACTGCCAAGAGGTAAGAAGGGTCAGGATTTGCCGACAGCATTTCACCTTCAGTTAGGGTTCCTTTAGTAACCACAGCACATATTTCACGCTTGACAACCTAAACGTATTGGAAAATATCAATGAGTAAGTTATACAGCTTCATATCACCCCAATTTCTCATTTTTCCAGCAGTTCTACCTAATGTACCCCACAGACAAATAAAAATATATAGAAACGAATTCTAAAAAGCATACTACAAAACAAATAATGAAATGAGTTAGATGAAATGACAGAAATAAGCTATCATATGTCCTAGCCAGAACCCAGATGAAATGGTTAACGATTCTCAGCATCACATGTAAGAAAATTTGTACATTTAAGAATTCTATTAAGACCATGATTAAATATTTGACAACTATAGACAGTAAATAATCAACACAAAAAGAAATATGGAGAAAAACACACTCCATTTCCAATATGAAAACCAATCAAGATCAACTTGATCTCCTCTAATATCATGAACGGTATAGCACACCTTATCCTTGGCACCTTTCTCTTTCCGACGAAGCTCCAGCTGTTCAGGAGTTTCTGTTTGCTCTACTACAAGCACTCGATAACCCTGATCCATCAATAAAGGTCAAGTAAAATTTCCATGGTGCATAATGTGCTTATTAAAAAAGATATAATCATAGCAAAACATATCATGGGAGGAATAAAAATAAATCAGACAAACCTTCCGAGCTAATTTCTCCACGTTCATAGAGAAGTTCCTCTCAGGAAATCCACAGTGAGGTTGTTCCCCCTAAAAATGGCAGTATATGTAAGAGGAATAGTGAAAAAAATAACATCATGACAAGGGTTACAGTTTATAATGGAGTTCCTGTCTTATTTTCTATGTTGTCTCCAGATCGTGAAGTGGCTTAAGATAAAAATAAAAAAAAACTAGTTGATCCATAAAAAGGATTCAGTTTGAGTTGAAGGAACTTGGAAAGGTACCTTCATGTATTGCAAATTCAGTTCTTTTGCCCCTATATGTGCATCCATTTCAAAAAGCTCATAAAATTTACCCATCTACATTAACAACAAAGAAATTTCAAATGACACAAAACTAATGAAAGCAACAAATCAGGGTAGATCATGTCATACCTTGAAAAATAAAACTTTGTCCATATGTTTTGACTTAAACTCCCACCATTGCCTCTGCATGATAACATAGGTCAACCTATTAATGCCAAGGAAAAATGAATCTCAGAGTACTTGAGAATTGAATGCCCTTACCTGGCCGCCTGATAGGCTCTTCAAGAAATCAGGAGGCAAGTATAAAGTTTTTGGATTGTAGTTTACATCTCCAGGACGCTTCCTATTTGCATCTCTACGCACCTTTCTTTAAGACCACAAAAAATAGAAAACAAAATAAATTGCATACCACCAAAATGCTTACATCAGAACATACAACCAGCCTCTATATCCAAATAAATTATCAGCATTGTAATGCCATAAACTCACATTTACTATATAATTGGCAATCGAATAGTTCAAATGGAAAGTGTATACTTTAGCTAAAGATGACATAATGCTGCATTAGTAAAATGTAATTATATAAAGAAAGCCAGCATGTGTTTTCAAATCCTCAAGGTGTAGTTATATTTTTTATGGGATCAATGTCACTGAAGGAACATTAAAAGAACAAAATAAGAACTTACGGTCCAAGGAAGTGCAACTTCTCAGCTTCACGCTTCCCAAACTTTTCTAATCCATCAGCTATCAAAACCTTGTCAAAATCACTAGATGCCTTCTCAACTGCAGAAAGAAAAATGTTCATATTCACAACTCAAAGATTTGCAACCATTCAATTGAGATGATTTACATAGGAACAAGACATACAGGAAAATAATATGCGATATATCCAATATTTTGAATGACATACTAGTTAACATAAGCCACACGAGAATACATTTACACGTAAATAACAGCAATAACGAAGACATAAGTTGGAACATAAATAGAAACATTGATAAAAGAGGAAGAAAACAAATTCCTTTAGAAGTGACAATTAGAGGAAAATAAATAACAAAAAGTTCAATGTAAAGGAATTCCTTTCTCAAGAAGAAGGGAATTTGATTATTTAATTTTCCATTTCAAACGCAACCAACCAAAATAGAGTGGCACACAAGAATCCCCGTTACTTACTTTCAATTTTCTTCACTGGTTCCGCCAACCATGCCTTAAACTTTTCCTTACTACTAGCATTTGCAGTGATCTTACTCTTCTTTCCAGATTCCAATTTCCCCACGCCACTCGCCTTCCGTTTATATGATTCAGCCTTTCCACCGCCTTTTCTTTTCGACATTTTCTTTCCCACCTCTTCCTCCAATTCTTCTTCTTCCTCTTCCTCTTTCTCATCCTCCAAATCCATTTCCTCCTCGTCAGCATCCTCGCTCACTTCCTCCTCCGCATTTCCCCCCCAATCTTCATCACTAAGATCATCATAATTATCGTCACTCTTTTCGTTCAAATTCTCCGCCACATCCTCATCGTCAATCACCACTTTCTTAAAAACCAAAGAAGCCCCACGCCGCAACCGCTTAAACCTCCCCGCGGTTTCTTCAACCCATTCAATCTTCTCCTTCCCCAAATCCAACTCCTCCTCCTCATAATCATCGTACAGAATCAAATGTTTTCCCCTGTTCTTATCAAAAGACTTCACTACGGCGTCGTACCATGCCTTATCCAACGGCCAGTAAACCCTTAGCCTCTTCTCGACTACTTCATTGCCAAACGTTTTGTTGTTCAGCAACGAATGACTTTGAACAGGTGATTGCCCCAATGACTAGGAGAGGCTTTTTAAGCCTGGATTCGAGAGGAGACGGAGTAGTAGGGCAGGGACTTTTGCTTGGACTGCGGTTAGGTTTAGGGTTAGGGTTGAGTTTAGAGGTCTGCTTGGCAAGAGGAGGGGGAGAAGGAGAATGAGAGAGGGAAGTAGAGTTCCTTTTAGTGAAGAAGGAAGTGATTTGGCTCTGTTGATTAACGAGCGGAGATCTGCCATTGCTCTGCCGTCTCGGCGGTGCCATTTTCCCCGATTAATGATAAAATGAGAGGCAAGAGGGGGGGAAAGTTGGAAATGTGAAATGTGATCACTTTTGTCTTGAAAGCGCAAGGCAGTAAAAAAGGGAAGAATATAAGCGCTAAAGATGGCGGATTTACCGGGAAAATGTCGTGGTCGGGAGTTTTCTTTGGCGGGAATTCCAGCAGAGACTGAACTCTTTTAACTGTAACGCATATACCCTTTAGGCGTGTTTGGTTTAAGTAATCTCAGATTATTAGGGAAATATAATGTAATTCTCCGTTTGGTTGATAAATATTTTCAGCCCTTGTAATTTTTTATTCTTAACAGTGATATTTTGAGAGAATATTATCAGAAATGTGATTACATCTTTCCTTAGGTATTGTTGGATTACTGACGTTTTGGACTAAAATGCCTTTAATTTTTTTTTTCAAAAATATTCTTCTTCTGTCGTTAAATAAAAAATTATACAAATGTTAAATTATAAATTTATCTTTAAACTATTTTAGATTTACAAAAAAAAATCCATAATTAGAATTTTATATGAAGTTCATGAGTTAAAATAAAATTTTACTCTTTCATTAAACTTATTTATCTTTTCAATTTTGTAAAAAAAAAAACTATATTAATGAATTTAAAATTTTTAAAGAAAATATATAAACTAATTATAGTAAAATTATAGAACTTGTTAAAAAACAAATATATAATAAGGACAATTTGGTAAAATATACATTCCAATAATTTTTTATTCCTTTAACCAAACACTTTAATCTTACATTACTGCTAAACGAATCAAACACAAAATACAACATTCTCAGTAATCTTATTCCCGTCGGTAATCATATTCCCGCTGATAATCTTATATCTCGTGAACTAAACACACTCTTACTATCTCATAGAAGCAAAGAAGCTTATGTAATGTGATTTAGGCTCTCATAAACCCAAAATGTTGGGCCGAAATGGTCTTGACCCAAGCCCAATATCAGTTCAGATGATTTTGATATATATATATATTTTATATAAAAACCCTACTTTTTCCAAAAAAAATATCGGACGAAGGTTTAAAATAGCATTTGATATTTGAAATTGTCATTTCTTCTTAAAAGGTCGAAATCATGTAGCTGCTCAAACTCAAGACTTTTAGAGGGAATAACCTTTCATTTACCGGTGAGTTCAAACATTATATATTTAATATTTGATTTTTTCAATTTTATGTTGTAACGCTTGTATTTTATTTTTAACCAATTTGATACTTACATTTGTCTAACATTACACATTTGATATATATATTTTCTTTCTAATCGATTTGTTACATATGATACATATGTCGATAAATTCAAATTCCTAATCATACATTATAGCTTTACGTAATGTACTCAATATGGAGCCAAGGTAGAGTCTCTTGAACACGTTAGGAGCGAAGGTTTCAAGAGCTTTGCGTATTGGTGGAATGGATGTTTTAAGATGAGTGCTCCTCCCGCTTAATTGTTCTTATAGCAAAAGGTTGGTAGGCATTTGTGTAAAGCTCGGAAGGAACTAATATTTTAGCACAAAACAAGCAAACCAATTTTGTGTTAGGCTTGGAGAGCTAAGACTCTCCTTACAGTTGGCAACACCTACATGGAAAAAGCCTAGTGAGAATGTCATAAAAATTAACTCTGTTGCTTCATGAGAACCATTCTCGCTTGTGACAGGTATCTACCGGATCAATGCACTTGTCAAGTGGTTCTAGAATCAGACCGCAAGACACACATTCATACCCAATACTCACAATAATTCACTATACTCATGTCGTATATCGGTAACAAATATGAATACTACTGAATTCTGATATTCATGACATAAATCTGTCACATAGCGACACAGCAGAGCATGAATGCATGTAATGCAAAGCTTGGCTCAATAATACTTTCTAGAAGACAAAATAAGTACATCAGAATAAGAAAGTCCTCGAAAATAATGAATCTGTTAATCGATTCTCTGATAATAAACAAAACAAAACAAAACTGGATGGTCCTATTACCTGAGGAAGAAGCACAAAGTCAAACAATTGAAAGAAAAATCAGTACAGTTGCATCAAGTGAAGTGTATACCAGCCTTGTTGAACATAGAGAGTAAAGTTAAAAAGTTTTCCTGTGAAAGCTTGGACGCCCTCTGCTCCTCAAAATTCCCTTCCTTCAACACACTTAAAACCTTAATCTTAAACTCAGACACTTCTCCTTCTACTTCATCGCATTCAGCTTCCATCTCATCATCCATTCCATCATCCACTTCCATACTCTGATCCCCAAATCTCGCTATGCCCATATCATCATTCCCACTCAAAGAAGCATTTTGTGAACCTTGCACCGCCTGCAAAGTCTTATAGTTCTTCTCCAAAACAGACAGTACATTCTTCTGCTTGAAAATGGAACCCAGTGTTTTATTCTTCCTAATGAAACAAATCCTTATGAACCCATCCCACTCTTTGTGATTCACTTCTGGACGAGGTTTCCTTGGCTCGATTCTTACAACGGATGAATCAACCTTTGGAGGAGGCCTGAAGTTATTCTTTCCAACTTTGAGGAGATGGGAAACCCGAGCATAAAATTGGGTATTAACCGAAAGTCGGCAGTAAAGATTATCACCTGGCTGAGCAACAAGACGCATGGCGAATTCTCTCTGAAACATAATAATAGCACACCTAAAAGCAGGCTGATGAAACAGTAACTTGAACGTAAGAGGAGAAGATATTTGATACGGAATATTCGCCACACATATATCAAAATATGGTAAATCCGTCTTCAGCACATCCCCTTGAATAACCTAAAAAAAATTGGCAATTTATTCAACATTGTCAAATTCCCAATACTAAAACATTCAAAATTTATAAGGTAATCGACTATTAAAGCTCCTAGAGTTCAGAATTTAGTCAATGGTATCCAATCCATCAGAATTTAGTCAATGGTATCCAATCCATCAGAATTTATCAGGCAAAATGGAAACTAAAACAAACATACCTTTAAGCGATGAGAGAAAGGAGTGCCTTGGAAGCGGCGCTGAAGTTCGAGAACCATACGAGGATCAAGTTCGACAGCGATGACATTTTTACCGGCTTCGAGAAGCTTCTTGGTGAGGTTTCCGGTACCGGGACCGATTTCGAGGATGGTGTCGGTGGTTTTTATGCCGGCTTTTTGGACAATAGAGTCGACCAACAAAGGGTTTTTGAGGATGTGTTGGCCTTTAGATTTGTGGAAAGTGACACCACCTTGGTAGTGATTGGAGGGTACTCTCGGTCCCTTTTGCTTCTCTTTCTTCATCTTCCCTCCCGCCATTGGAAATCACGAGTGTAATTGATTCGCATAAACGAGTTGAAATATCAGTAGGAAGCGATTAGGGTTTTTCGGTTTATAAATGCTATATAAAGTCAACAAATGACAACTTTAATCCCTCAACTATATGTACATTCCAATGTAGGTCATTCAAGTTGAATAAATTAAATTTTATCATAAAAGTTTTGAAATACTTTCATTTTGGTAACTCGATTGTTTATCTCTAACTTTGTGTTGACTTAGGGGCTGTTTGTTTGCCTCTTAATGGAATCATTCAGCACTGAATGTTGAACCGTTCAACATTCAGCGCGTTTGTTTCGCACCTCTGAATCATTCAGTGCTGACTGATTTAACAAAACAGTGTTGAATGATTCAGCACAAAAGTACATTCTAAATGATTCAGAGCCATTATCAAACAACATGTCACATTCAGAGCTAATTCATACAAAGCCTCTGAATCATTCAGCATTTGAATCATTCAGCGCTTAATCATTCTGAAGTAAACAAACAACCCCTTAGTATTTTATATTTTTTAACCATGTATGTGTCAACTCATATTCCAACCATTTTTTGTCAAGGGATTCAAATCGCGGTGACGGTCACGTTTTCGGTTGCATTGTTTTTATCACTATTACCAGCATAGCATGCACTATTGCATTGATTGTAGATGTCGTGATCATATAATAACGGTCGCAGAAGGCACCGCTACCGCTACATTGCAGGCGCTATTGCGGTCGCGGACCGCTATTTAAATCCCTCAAGACTTATCGTCGCGTCGACTGCCATCTTCAATGGTTGTTAGACCCTAAAATTGCTTTATAATTATATTTTTTATCCTTTGCATCCAATTCCGAACTTTGTTTCACCTGAATCCTCAATTAGAATAGTTGTTCACGACCACCTTTCATCTTCACCATTCAGTCTGCCAAACACAAACGATAACTACAAACTCCAGACATAGACAATGTTTTATCAAATTAGATGTGCTATTTCTTTCTCACTTATAACTCACAAAGGATATGTTAATGAGTAAATATTTAGAAAACTATTGGATACAGTCTCAGTCGTTGGGTGACTCTTTAGTTGTAGGAATACATATATGCATACGCATGTTTGTGTATACACACACCATTTGGAAATATTTCTAAAACAAGTGGTAGGAATAAATGGCATAAAGAAAAAGACATATGATGGGTAGTTTTGAAATGAGAGTTTGAACCTGTTAAGGAATTCTGATTTCTGAACAGATTCGTTCAGTTTCTGAAATCCTGCAATACTTGAAATACATAAGATGAAAGTCAAAATATACCATTTCCTTTTGCGATTTAAACAAAATTGTCACATGCAAATTCCATTGAATTTGAGGGACGTAAGAAGTTAGAAAAAACCTGATCTCTGCCTGACGAGCGCTCTAATTTAGTAAAAGAATACAGGAGCTTATCCCTGATTTCAGAATCAATATGTGGGTGCTCCCATTGAGTGTTAGGGTCATACAGCTACAAAGCACTACGCCGATAATTACAGTAATCCTAGTAAATAACTTCATATTTTTCCCAGGGACTATCAGGGAAATCCGCATAATTGGGCTGTGAAGCAACGATTCTACCATCCCACCCGTCTCTGTCAGTGTATATGAATTGCATGAAGAATGTTCGTCAAAAAGGCAAGGCTGAAAAAGAGAGTTGCATGGGGAATGTTAGTGTATAAATGTTAGTGAAGAGTTAGTTGTAACTGAAGTTGTTAATAGTGTTGTTACTAGTTAGTTAAAGAAGTTGTTAGCTGACATAATTAATCAGCTAATATAAATGAGATGGTTAACCTCCTATCATGTAAGCAAGATTAATGAAATGCAATACAGAGGTTTCTTCTATCTTCTCCTTTATCTCTATGTTATATTACAGTTAGGCTTATATCACAACATGGTATCAGTCGCTAATTCCTGGTGTGGCTTCCTGCTGCCATTCATGAAACTCAAGTGCTTGTCGTCTGCCTTCATTGCTTCATCAATCGATTCTTTACTTCTTGATCTGGTACGTGTTTCTTAAAGTTCAGATATGTGTTCTTTCCCGTTATAGTTGGTCTTATGGCTGATCCGACTCGTGACGAGAATGGTTCGTAGATTAACTCCCCTACGAGCTGTACTGTAACTCGTGTAAGTCCCATTCAGCATATACCCAAACACGATACTGTTAAACTCACTGAAAATACATATTTGTTATGGAAACATCAAGTGTCGTTAATCGTTGATGGTTATGGTTTGTTAAAGTTCATTTCGCCTAATATAGTTATTCCAAATGAATTTGTTACCAATGATGTTGGGCAAATCGAGGAAAATCCAGTATTCTTGGCATTCAGGCAACAAGATAAGTTGCTTGCCTCCTGGTTGTTGACTACTGTAAGCATGGAGGTTCTGCTCCACCTCACTGGCCTTACCTCTGCAGCTGCTATTTGGAATGTTGTGACACGTTTGTTTGGTGCTCGGTCTAGTGCAAAAATCTCCTCGCTTCACCACACTTTGCATTCACAAAAGAAGTCTGGCCTGTCTGTTCATGAATTTTTAGCAAAAGTCAAAGTTGTGTGTGACTTACTAAATGCTTCTGGAAGTCTTGTGACTGAGAAAGAACATGTTAGTGTCATTTTAGCAGTCCTAACTGTGGAGTTTGAATCTGTAATTACTATAGCTTCCAGGGAAGAGGTATCGTTGGACACTCTCACGGAAATGTTGCTTGATTGTGAGGCTCGACAGAAGATGTTCTTAGGCGGAGGACTCTAGGCCAATGTGGTTCAATTAAAACCTGATGGTGAACTGAATGTTAAAGACTCTATTAATGATCATTCCTCTCAAGTGCGTGATCAACATGGAGGTAGTTATTAAGGACGAGGTCGTGGACGGAGTTATAACTCCAACAGGCCATAGTGTCAATTATGTGGTAAGTTTGGGCATGTTGTCCAGAAATGTTACCATCGGTTTGATCGTGACTACATTGGGGTTGGTGACTCTAGTACATCGGCTGGGAGTTATTCAAAACGACCAAGTGGTTTAGGTATTGATCAACATCAACCTTCTGCACGAGGTTATAATCCTGCAGTGAACACGATAACATATCCTGGCTTTGTTCTTGCCCCTTCCCCTTATTTGTATCCACTCAATTCGATGGCTTCTGGTGCCTCGTTTTGTTCCCCAATAACCTTTGGTTACTATCCATCTTCTGGGTTCGTAGTTGGTTCTCCCAATGATGGTTCAAGCCCTTCTGTAGTGAGTCAGAATCCGTTCTTGACACCCCCAACACCTGCAGCCTTCGTTTCGATGATTCCACCCTCAGGTGTTCAGCCTTCTTTGAAGTCCACGAATGATGTTGTTTGGTATCCTGACACTGGTGCCACTCACCATGTAACTAATGATTCGTCTGTTTTCCACTCAGGTATTGTGTACACGGGTGATAGTAACTTGCACATGGGTAATGGCGATGGCATTAAAATTTCACATGTGGGGCAAAGTTCTTTATATTCTAATATAAAACCCTTACTTTTGCGAAACATGTTACATGTTCCTAACACCAGGAAGAAGTTGATTTATGTTTCACAGTTTACACGTGATAACAGAGTTTTTCTTGAATTTCACCCATATGAGTGTGTTGTGAATGATGCTCACACACGGCAGGTTCTTCTCCGAGGGAGGCTCACGGATGAGGGACTTTATCAACTACTCCCTTGTGCTGAAACGTGCTCGAATGCTCAGCTAAATCATGTTTCCATGGCTTCAGATCCCATGGTCTGTGGCATCGACGCCTTGGTCATGTTTCCAGCGAAGTTGTGAAGTCTGTTATGAAGCATTATAATGTTTCCTTTCATAAGAATAAGATGACACATGTGTGTGTTGCTTTTATGCAAGGAAAGGCTCACAAACTTCCGTTTTATTCTTCTACCTCGCAATATAATGAACATTTCCACTTAGTTATTTCAGATGTCTGGGGTCCTGCTCCTTGTAATTCTTCAGATGGTTTTTCATTTTATGTTTCCTTTATTGATATCGCAAGCAGATACACCTGGCTTTATTTGCTTAAAAGGAAATCTGAAGTACAATATTGTTTTATTAACTTCTGTAAGCTAATTGAGGTACAATTCGACTGCAAAATTAAAATTTGCAAACAGACGGTGGTGGATAATATCATGGGGTCCTGCTCCTTGTAATTCTTCAGATGGTTTTTCATTTTATTTTCCTTATTGATATCGCAAGCAGATACACCTGGCTTATTTGCTTAAAAGGAAATCTGAAGTACAATATTGTTTTATTAACTTCTGTAAGCTAATTGAGGTACAATTCGACTGCAAAATTAAAATTTGCAAACAGACGGTGGTGGATAATATCAACCGCTTAAGGGATGACTGCAGCAAAATGGTGTGGAACATCGGATCTCATGCCCAGTCACCTCTGAGCAAAATGGTCGAGCTGAGCGTAAACACAGACACATAGTTGAAATGGGGTTAACCATGCTCGCTCAAGCATCTCTACCTCTAAAATTTTAGAGTTATGCGTTTGTATCTGTAGTCCATCTTATCAATAGGTTGCCCACTTAAGTGTTAGATGGCAAATCTCCACTTGAGATGTTATATCACAAGGTACCAGAATATGAATTCATGCGTATGTTCGGTTGTACGTGTTTCCCGTGCATGAGGTACGACAATCACCACAAGTTGGAATTCAGGTCAAGGCAATATACTTTTCTAGGATATAGCCCGTCTCATAAGGGTTATCGATGTTTGGATGATGATGGGAGGATGATCATCTCTCGACATGTGGTGTTCGATGAGCATGTCTTTTCTTTTCAACAAAGGGGCAACTTCTTGGGAAATAGTTTGTGTTCTTCAGGGGTCTTTAACGTGATTCTTCCTGTTTTTACAACTTCAGCCACTGGACCGAATGGAGTGAACAAGGGCACCACCCCGCATACTGTGAATTTTCCATCTACTAATGATTTCTTATTACCTGTGGAACAGGTTGCCGTGGGCTTGGTTGATATGTATGAAACATCGCCTTCATCTACTGGTGGAATGTCTCA